TGTGTCCCTGAGCCAGACACTTAGCCTCAGACACACACACACACACACACACACAGACAGTGCTGGTGTAGCCAGAAACTGCTCTTGAACCTACAGATCTCTGTTTACAGATCTTGGCGGGACAAAACTCCACAAATGCTTATAAAGGAAGTCACAAATGTAAAGTGACCTGAAAAATGAGATCCGTAAATGTGTTAAAACTGTTTTGCGTGTATAAATGGATCCACAGATGTGTAAATAACACTTTGTATGTAAATAAAAAGATGTTTGTACAGATTAAATTGTGTATTCAGCAGTCTGAGCTGACAAAATCAGATTTTAACCGTCTTTTTAACTTTTTAAAGCAGTGTGGAAAGTCAGTTTTTTTTCTCTGGTCCCATTCCCACAGTTGGTCGCGGTGCTGACCGCTTCAGTAGACTCCTTGGCCTCCACGACTGGCTCCAGTCCGCCTGCAGGGTTCACCGTGTGTTATGTGGATAATTTTAATATTTTCTGGCAAAGAATGTCTCTTTTTAAGACAGACGGACTTCACCCAAACAAACGGGGCTCAGAAATGTTAGCTGCGCACATACAGCATGTGGTGCGGTCCACACATGACTTACGTGAATGACTAATCATTCATGCAGCACAGCTGGACACACCACCGCTCACTGAACAGATCTCTGGCTCACTGCTACAAACAACTGTCTCCACCTGCTGGCATGTAAAGCCGTCTGCTCCCAGCGCTGTTCCCCAGACTTCTATTCCTGTCATCATCACGCATAGACCAGTAAACTGAAATGTGCACATCCCACACAGAAATATTAGTAATCTCTTAAGGATTAGGACAACTGCACCAACTCCAGCACCCAGAACAAACACATTTAAAGTGGCTCTCTTCAATGTGAGATCACTTTCAAGTAAGACTTTTATCTTAAATGATTTTATCTTGTCTGCAAATCTAGATTTTATGTTTTTAACTGAATCCTGGTTGCAAATGAATGATGAACTGTGTCCGCCTCAATATGATTGTTTTAGTCAACCGAGGGTCAGTGGTCGTGGTGGTGGGCTAGTGAGCGTGTATAGGGAAAATTTTAAATGTCATCAAGTACGCTGTGATGAATTTAACTCCTTTGAAGTTCTCACTCTTAAAGTTGGAGGGCTGCAACCTATCATATTTGTTATAATTTATCGCCCCCCAAAACCACCTGGAGGATTTTTATCAGAACTTCCTGAATTTTTATCTACTCTGGTTTTAAATTATGAAAGAATTGTTCTTTGTGGCGATTTTAATATTCATGTTGATGACCCCACCAATGTTTTTGCAACTGACTTTTTAAATATGGCCACTTCTTTTAACTTCAAATAACATGTCAAAGGGCAAACCCATAACCGTGGTCATACACTGGACTTGGTTTTTACCCTGGGTGTCAGCATTTCCTCTGTGGAATTAGTGGACATGACCATATCTGACCACAGATGTATTGTTTTTAGCTGCGATTCGCCTGTTACTCATGCTGCCTCACCAAGCTCCGTGTGTTCTCGCATCTTTAATGAACAAAGTGTTTCAAAGTTTGCCGCATTCTTTCAGAGCCAAAGCCAACACCTGTCTGATTCCAACACCAAAAATCTGGTCGATCACTTCAATCATATCTGCTTGTCGTCACTAAATATTACTGCTCCTCTAAAGGTTAGGCCTACGTCTAAAGCTAGTAAGCAACCCTGGATAAATGACAGCATTCGCAGCCTAAAAAGGGAATGCAGGAAAGCAGAGCGCAGATGGAAAAAATTACCTCAGTCTGAAGGATTTATTAATTAACTACAATAACATGGTTAAGGATGCGAGAACACACTATTTTTCTGAACTCATTACTACACATAAACACAATCCAAGGTTTCTGTTTAAGACTGTGGATCAGCTGGTAAACCCAGCCCCTCCTTGTGCCTCAGCTGGAAGTAATGATGACTGTGAATTGTTTTTATCTTATTTTACCAATAAGGTGGTGTCAATCAGAGCCTCTATTACCCCTGCGGCCTCTTACTCAGAGGTTCCTGAGAGTTTTAACCATCCCATCGACTTGTCTGAGCTTTTAAAAACAGTATCACAAATGAGAGTGTCCTCCAGCCCACTTGATGTAATACCTACAAAGTTTTTACAGAAAGTAATAGATTCTGTTGGGCCCCATTTGATCTCTGTTTTCAACAGCTCCCTATCTACTGGTTGTGTCCCTGATTATTTTAAAACGGCTTGCGCGAACCCACTTTTAAAGAAACCTGGTTTAGATCCCTCCCTCCTACATAATTTTAGACTAATTTCAAAACTGCCTTTTATTGCAAATATTCTAGAAAGAATTGTGTCCAAACAGCTGCTCACTGTACTGGAAAATAACAAAATATTTGAAAAGTTTCAGTCTGGTTTCAGGAAGTACCACAGCACTGAGACTGTCACCAATGACCTTTTAATGTCTGCTGATGAAGGCATGTGCTCAGTCCTGGTACTCCTGGACCTTAGCGCTGCTTTTGACACCATTGTTCACAACATCATGTTAGACAGACTGAGGCACTGGGTGGGGATCTCTGGTACTGCCCTAGAATGGTTTTCATCCTACCAGTCAAATAGGAAGTTTTGCGTGTCTGTAAACAACTATGTCTCCTCGTTCTGTCCAGTTAAATATGGTGTGCCTCAGCGGTTGGTCTTAGGACCCATTTTGTTTTCCTTGTATCTGCTTCCCCTTGGACATATTATCCATAAACATGGCATTTCTTTTCATATTTATGCTGATGACACACAAATATACTTGCCCGTCAGATCCACAGACCCTGGAATGCTGAGTTCACTTAACAACTGCCTTTGTGAAGTTAAAAAATGGATGTCAAATAATTTCCTCCAACTGAACTCAGACAAAACAGAAATCCTGGTCACTGGGTCCCAGCAGATGGCAAATCAAATACTGCCATCTGCTGGTTCCCTAGTAAATCACATTAAGCCTGTGGCAAAGAACCTTGGTGTTTGGTTTGATAGTAATTTAAATTTCGAGCAGCACACCACAAAGCTTGTTCAATCATGTTTTTATCAACTTAGAAATATAGCAAAAATTTGATCTATGTTAACTTTTAAGGACACCGAGACCATTTTACACGCCTTCATCTCATCACGCCTGGATTATTGCAACAGCCTTTTCACCTGTTTAACCCAAAAATCAGACTGTCCAGAACTCAGCTGCCAGGCTTTTAACCAGAACAAAGAAATATGACCACATTACTCCTATTTTAGCTTCATTACACTGGCTCCCAGTGTGTTTTAAAATTGACTTTAAAATTCTATCGATTACTTTTAAAGCTCTTCATGGCCTCTGGCCTTGTTATATTTCTGAACTTTTAGTCCCATACACACCAGCACGTACCTTGAGATCCTCAGGCAGAGGTCTGTTTTCTGTTCCAGAGTCTCGACTGAAAGCTAAAGGGGACAGAGCGTTTGCTGTCAGGGCCCCGAGGCTCTGGAACAGCCTGCCTGAGGAAATCAGGTCGGCTGAGTCAGTGAACTCTTTTAAGTCCCTTAATAAAACATACTTTTATAGGAGGGCCTTTCCCGATATTATTTGACTTTATTTTATCCCTTTTATTTTATTGTATTTTACTAATTTTATATTTATCTTAAACGTGTATTTTAGTCTTTTCAATGTTTTCATGCTTTTATCTTGTATTGTTTTTGTATTATTGTCTTTTGGGTATTGTCTTTACACTTGTTAAAGCACTTTGTAACTTGTTTTTGAAAAGTGCTCTACAAATAAAGATTATTACACTGTTTTTGTAGATATGATTTTACATAACACAAATGTAAAAATACATGTTTTGGGTTGTGAGATATTTGTTTATATATTTTTTTACCAATCTCTGTGGTACACATTGGACAGAATTCCACAAATGTGTAAAAGGGTATTTATATTTTTATGGATATGATTTTAGATTTTAGCGTAAAATCATATGAATATTCAAATGTGTACAAATACACATTTATGAAGAGTGAAATATTTGTGAATCATAGTACACATTTGTGGTTTGTCTTCTGTGAGACACAGATACAGATATTAAAGTCCAATTAAATCTTTCATATATGGTCACATTCAAGTTACAATTAATATATTTTATAAACTTTGATTGACGGGGCGCGGCTCATCAGCAACTTACCTCTGGCTATTGTAAACGACCGGAGCATGTACGCACATACCTACGTAATCACACTGACCATGGCAACTTAAATCCAACTTAAATCACCTTTAATGCCAGACTTTGGAAAAAGCTAAAAGAGCATTTATACGTTCAAAAGCTTGCTAGATATCTTCTTAGTCTGGAAGTGTCTTCTTCTTCTGCTGCTTCTTCTTCTTCTTGAATATTAATAGCTGGCAAACAACAAATTGGTGCATTACAGCCACCAACTGGTATGGAGTGTGGATCAAATCCAAGCCCATATATTATTTACATAAATAAATAATTAAATGAAATAAACTCATATCCTGTCAAACATATTGTTTAGTCTGAGATACTGAAAGATTTGTTATTTTGCTGAATATCTATTAAATCAAAGTGTACTTTTATTCTTCTGAGGTTTTGAACCATCTACCTTCTTTCTTCCTCTTGCTTCTTACAACATGCTCTACTGTTTCTTCTTGCCCACAGTAGTCATATGATTCATATGATTGTTTCATCTCTCCTGTTCCATCCTGTATATCTCATTTCCTCACTTCCTTTCCTCTCTTCCTCCAATTACTTTTGCCACATTCTGTTTAATAATGCTCTTGATTTCTGTGGTATTAGTTTAAGCAGACTGTGCTTGTGTTGTGACTTAGATGATGATCAGATCACATTTTATGACCACTTTTTGCAGAATTCCAGGTAATTCCATAGGGTTCACATACTTTTTCCTGCAACTGTACTGACATAAAAAGCACCTTTGTTTACTACAACTTCCAAGTTCTAGAGAGTCACAGTATGAGCAATGAAAACACCTGTAATTGTTTCAGTGCTCGTCATCCTGCGGGAAGGGCTTGCAGTCGCGAGTGGTCCAGTGTATGCACAAAGTGACTGGTCGCCACGGTATCGACTGCCCAGTGACACTGAGACCACCAACTTACCGACCCTGTCACCATGGTGCCTGCAACGAGAGAATCAACGTAAACACCATCACCTCCCCCAGGCTAGGTGAGACACTCCTTACAACTTCTAGTTCTAGTCAGATTGAAATGTTAAAGACACCGTGCAACACCCCCCCCCCCCCACGTGAGAACAGATTATTATTATTATTATTATTGTCTGTCTTATCACTTACATTGTACCTGTTTTTTATTACACACACTTGTTTAATCACGTTTTATTTTATATTTGTTGTTTTTACTATGTCAGTGTGTACTGTTTTATTTTGTTCTTTAAAGCAGAACTATGTAACCATGGTTTAAAAAGTGCAATACAGATAACGTTTTATTTTATACTTTTGGAACCATCACGTCAGGCCCACACCACTCACTGCAAGAAGGCTTGATTACTCCTGTAGTGAGCATTTCCTCTTTCTTTAATTGACCCTTTTGCTAAGCCACGCCCCCCCTTAATTACTTTTGCTATGTCCAACAAACTGTCGGACCTGTCAGATTTGTCACAACGCTGCCACTGTCTATAATTGCACTCCCTGGAGAAATCTTGTCTACTTTTGGGAAAACTGAAAAAAGCAATCTCAGAAAGGAGACATAAAGGTTTGCATTATACATTTGAAGATTGTATTTAGACTGTCAAACTGATGTGAAACAAATAAAGACAGAAGCTAAAGCCTACCATCACAAGTAAGAGTGAACCACCGCATCACCTAATGACTGAGACAAAGGACAACCATATTAAGGATTAACACTGTTCCTGGACAGCTGGGTAGGTCTCTCTTAAAAAAGCAAACAGCAGTAGGGTTGCATAACGCTACCTTCAGTAGTAATTAAGCAAGCATTAGCTTACTAACATTACATTACAAACAATCCACAGCCTTCAATTTTCTGGATTTGTTTTAGGTAATGGAAAGGGAATTTCTTTCAACCTCTCTGGGTAGCGATACTAATTGCCCCAGGAATAGCGTTTGACCATGTCTTGGAGAAATACAGCAAAAAAAGGCTAGAAAATGACTCCTTTTGCAAACGAGTCAATGGAGTGAAGCCATGAAAGTGTTGGCACTTAGTTAGATTGAGTCCTATACTGCACTGTGATTGGCCAGTTGCGTATTCGGGACGTGGCTTAGTGAAGGGTCAATTCAGAAATATTTCTAGCTGTTACTCAGCAGATGGTGTTCCTGATGAGCTGGTGAATGCAGACTCATGTTTTATTAAAACTTCCTAGCCACCTCTTCCAAGATATCCATTTGACCCCTCACTGAATGTACATACAGCAGCAGGAAAAGTGAATAGTGGGACTTCTCTGCATGCTAAAAACAGGTAGGAAAGCCATTTGTCCCAGTCTGAAGCTGAGTCGTTAACAAATGAATCACAAAGTGTGCTGTGCACTAGAGACCTGCGCAGGACTGTTTTATTGTTCCCGACCATTACCGCCCATTCCCGCAACATGTGTATCCACTACCGCCCACACCCGCAAACATTGTGACATGCAGAGTAAAAAAGGGACACAAATGTTTGGGCTATGCTAAACATAGCATTTTTGTCAGTAAGAACTGAGAAGTTTTACAAATTTCAGACTTGCCTTGCTTTGGTCTTGTATTGTTTAAGCCCGTGTGATTGAAGCCAGCAAGGCTGTGCACTGAGTAAACCTCACTCCTGACACCTTAAGACACGCATTGGTGACCGACGCCAGTGGCCACGGGCTTTAGCCTCCTCGTCAGTGGATCCACCTCTCGTACCCGAGGTCACCGGTTGGAGTCAAGCCCGTGCAGTACATTCTTGGGAGCAGCTGCATACACTCACTTTAATCTTTTTTTTTGTTGTCTCCATCTTATCAGCGTTACTGCGGGACCCGCAGTATATTTTTTTACCACCCGCTCCCGCCCGCAGCATAGTTAAAACCGCCCGCTCCCGCGCGATTTGTGTTGCGTCCCGCGGGATCCCAATCCCAATGCAGCTCTCTACTGTGCACCTCCTTCAGCAGAATTGAGGGTAAAGTTCATGCCATGGTTAGCACTACTTGGATGGAAGAAACAAAATCTTTAAGGCAGACCTTCAGCTCTTTGAGAGTTTCCTCTTCTCCCAGCTGACTGGAATGGTACCTCACTCACTAAGTCAGTGCACTCATTTCAAATTTCTGTGAAACAGCACACTTTACTTACATAGTCCATTGTGTAATCATTGGGCCTCATTCACCATCCGTTTATATGAACAAATTTCTTTTTAAAATCCACTTGCGCAGTTTTCACAAAGATTCTGCTAAGTTGTCTTATTAGGGAGAATCTACGCACACTTAAGATCACTCTTACTATTAATATTTACTTATACTCTTACTCTTAATATTTCTCTCATTTACTTTAAGTAATAATTTTCATTATTATACGGAATTATATGTTGTTTTTGTTTATAAATACACATTACACTCCAGTTCACAGGGCTCCAGACTGCGATCATTTTGGTCGCATATGCGACAATGTGTGCGAGTAAAAATTTCACGTGGTCCCATTCGTGTGTAAGGTGATCATTAGCAGGATTCTACAGCGCGACCATTTCACTTGCAAATGCCCCAAAAGTGCAAGCAAGCTGTGCGAATAAAGACAGAAACCTACCGTAATCGCCCCTGCTCCACACCGCTAATCTTTGAAAATAAATGTCTGACTTGCTGCCGGCCCCGGCAGACATCCTGGTGGGTGGGTTGCTCTGTGGCCACTTGGGCACTCGTTTTACAAAAACAAGAGAGAGATACGTCGGCAGGTGAAGCCGTGAGACAGAAGACAAGGGTAGAATGTAAATGCTCCGTATTTGTATAGCGCCTTTCTGGTCTTTTTTCGACCACTCAAAGCGCTTTTACACTACATCTGCATTCACCATTCACTGAGCCTAAGTGCTCAAACAGAAACTAACACTCACACACATTCATACACTGGTGGCAATTCTGGGTTCAGTATCTTGCCCAAGGACACTTCGACATGCAGCCTGGAGGAGCCGGGGATTGAACCTTCCGATTAACGGGCAACTCGCTCTACCTCCTGAGCCACAGCTGCCCCTAAGATAGAAGAAGAAGAGAAGAAGGTTTGTGTTTGGCTAGCTGTCCATCCATCCATCCATCGTCAGCCCCCTGCGTACAGGGTCGCAGGGGGCTGGAGCCAATCCCAGCTGACATCGGGCGAAAGGCGGGGTACACCCTGGACAGGTTGCCAGTCCATCGCAGGGCCACACATAGACAAACAACCACTCACACTCACATCCACACCTAAGGAAGCCTGAGCACATATAAGCTTTATTTTCAGAATCAGAATCAGCTTTACTTGCCATATACACATACAAGCATACATGTACATAGTGTGATGACTGCAAAGAATGCTGGAATAAATAAGTATTATGATCGGTGTTGTGTACTTGAGGTAGGTGGATTTGGTATATAGTATTTACAATATGACATATGTGAACAGTATGAAGAGCTTTGAAATGGAGAATGATGAATAAATATTGTTTAAATGGTAGCCAGTAAACAGGAATTATTGCACAGGAATTGTTCCTGAAACTGCGAGTCAGAGTCAGCTGTTCATCAGAGTGATGGCTTGTGGGAAGAAACTGTTCCTGAGTCTGTTGGTTTTGGCGTACAGTGCTCTGTAGCACCTACCAGAGGGGAGGAGCTGGAACAGGTTGTGTCCGGAGTGAGATGCAGTGATATTTCCTGGCCGTTTTCTGACTCCAGAAATGTATAAGTCCTGAATGGAGGGCAGTTTGGCACCGATGATCTTTTCTGCAGTCCTGACTGTCCGTTGTAGTCTGCTCCTGTCCTTTTTGGTGGCAGATCCAAACCAGACAGTGATGTGCAGAAGACAGACTGGATGATGGCTGTGTAGAAGTGGATCAGCAGCTCCCTAGGCAGATTAAGCTTCCTGAGCTGGCACAGGAAGTGCATCCTCTGCTGGGCCTTTTTTTTGACGATGGTGTTTAGGGCCGGGTCGCTGCATCCGGTGTGGGATTATCCCGGACAAGCTCCAGCTACAAGGCCGCGCCTTCGACCGTCTAAAGTTTGGAGTATTTCAGACAGACACTCAACAACGTGCTGCTCCGTGAGCTCTGTGAACTGGAAACAGCTTCACTGCAGCACAACTTTCACAAACACGTGAAACGAAAGTAACGTTATCCCGCAGCACTTTGTCTAGACGGCAGCACTGCAAATCGTGTTTACTTTCTGTCGCCACACAAGCACGACACATTATCAGCACGAGGACACGTAGTCCGTTAAAATGTTTATTGCCTTCATGTTAAAAGTAATTTCTGCCCCACTGCGGTCATGGTAACGTAACGTTACAACGCGAGTCATGTAACGATTGGCTGTTTCAGATTTTCTGTTTATTTAACGGCCACGTATGAGCGAGAAAACAGCTGAATCTGATTACAGACAATCTATGACTGTCTGTACAGTCTGTGAGTCCTTTCAGGTGTTCACTGATGCAGAAATACATTTTATTATCATACTGCATTACTCAATATTAAAATGAATCCATGTCAGAAACATCTAAAGTTTTAAGTAAAGTAGCCTAATTAATGTCTGTTATTGTTATTATCACAACACATCAGTGACGTGGAAATTTGATTCATTTTAAGATTTGCTGCTATTGTCATTATTCTAATGTGCTTCATCAGGATGATTGAATAAAATATAGATTTATTGATTAGACATGTATTAGACATTTATTTTGGATAAATTGGTATGTTAATCGAGTAATAGGCAACTTTTCTTTGTTTAGAATAAATAAAATTAGTTGTTAGATTAATCGACTAATCGAAAAAATAATTGTTAGATTAATCGACTTAAAAAATAATCGATATGTACAGCCCTAATGGTGTCAGTGTTGGGCTCCCACTTCAGGTCCTGGGATATAGTGGATCTAGGGCCGGTTATCGAGTTCAATACTTTTTAGGTACCGACCGAATTGCCTTAATACCACGAGTATCAAAAAATGCCTTGTCTTTCAGTACCAAAGTTCGATACCTAAAGGTTCTTGTGAACGCTCGTGGATGTAAAAGACGTGGAGAAAA